AAACCGCCATTGGAAGACAGAAGATCTTAATTAAGACAGAAGTTGCCCAACCAACAGCTAGCTGATCACAATAATTATTATACCGGTACATTTAAAGCTACTAGTACCACTACTACAGTAGCTAGTACTTGATCTCAATACGTCGTGTAGCTTGCCGTGTACAGAACTCGAGTATTCAGAAAGCGTTCCAACATCCGATCAGCTCAAGCCACACGCCCCTATGGACCAACTCATGAAAACCCTCCGTCCCTACTGGCATGATCCAACCCAAGTTTTCATACACACCACCCTCTCCCCAATCACAGGAAGACCCGACTACACTTCCCTCAAACGACTTGAAAAAGAAAACAAAGACAATGCCCGACGAGTCTTCAGCTCGCGCGGAGATGAAGGTCACCTCCGTCTCTGTTACACCCTCAAAGACTACAACGCCAGAGCAAATATTGCCGGCAACCCATGGATCGACCCAGTCAACCCAGGCCCACGACCCAATATCCCAATCGACGCAACAGAAGCACAAGTCTGTCTTGCAGTAGTCAACCACCACTACGACGTCCAGGAATTCCACCTGTACCATTCCACCGAAAACGCACTCCTAAAGAAAGCAATGGAAGCAGTTGAGGAAGTATACTACAAAGCACTCGAAGACCCAGATTTAGGATACTATCAACTCAAGTACATTGACTTCATCCAACATCTTCGCGAAACCTATGGAGAGCTTGATGACGATGACCTCAGCAATAACATCAAACGCATGAATGCACCATGGATGCCAACCCAACCAATCCAACAACTCTTCAACCAAATCGAAAAGGCACAAGCCTTTGCACGTGAACATGATATCATCAGTGAAAAAACCGCAGTCCGGTCTGCCATGACGAACCTTGAAAACAGCGGAGCATTTCCCCGAGATATGAAAGAATGGAGATTAAAACCAGAGGCAGACCATACTTGGAACAACTTCAAAATCCACTTCACTGCAGCCAACAAAGAACGCCTCCGCACAATCACAACGAAAGAGGCAGGATTCCACGACCAAGCAAGCAAAGCCAGTCAGCCTCAAAAGGACAACCCATACATCGTCAGAAACTCCAATGGAAAAGGAATAATGGCATACTGCTTCTCACACGGCCTCCAATGGGACCTCACTCACACCAGCATGACGTGCCGCAACCGCCACAAAGACCACAATGAGGAAGCCACTGTGTCCAACATGTGCGGAGGCCTAAACCGAATCAAACGCCAGCCAGGAGAAGTTGCCATCTTCAAATACCAACCCAGCACCACCAACAGACGCACCAACGGAAAAGAAAACTGTATCAAACAAAGATAAATCACCTCCAACGACGGTTGTTCTAGTAGTTCCCATCCTAGAGTCGGCATGTGTCGGAGCCAACCGATTGAAGACCGCGTGGTATCAGTCAATGAATGGTTTACTCCAGTAATTCTGGCTAGCGTAGGGAAGTTTTCTACGGAAGCCAGGGTGGGCCAGGCTTGGGCAAAGAAGAGGTGGAATTCGCTCCCGACTGAGTTATGTGGGATCAGCGGCCACAAACTGAGGACAGTAGAGTAATCTAAATCCAAGCTGTTTCAATTACTATTTCCCCCAATTCCACAGACCGACGATGTGCCGGGAATAGGCCCAGTGAACGGTCAGCCATACTCTAAGTCTCAGCAACCTACAGCTGTACCAATGGACACCGAAATTGCCGCCAATCTAGTCAATGCCACTGGAACAACGTGAGGTTCGCATGCAACACCGTTTGCTTTGGCAAGATCCAATGAATATGCGAATACGGTACGGTACGATATTGGTACACCGGATGGCAGACCAGTGCTTGGACAGGTGGATACATTTGCCCCAAGCTTGGCACTGAGACTCAGAGGGGGTAACTTTTCAGGCATCAGGGTCGAGGTCTTTCAAAGAAAGCGAAGTGCTGCTATGTTTGTCAAGCGGGAGGTTGTTGCATAATCTGGTTGGCATCCAGTGGTTGATATCCAGATTCCACGAGCACACGCCCCACCATGGCTCGGAGCCATGCCCACACAGCATAGGAATAATCCATCATCATCTTGCTTGCAGCTTTTTCAGCTTCACAGCGGCAGAGCTATCTTTTGGTGCACCCAACAAGAGCTCCCGCTTTGGGTAAAGGGGTCCAATTCGAGGAAGCTCCACCATACCTATTTCGTAGCCATGCTCCTCTGCCCAACGCAAACGATCCATTTCCACAATTCGCTTTGCCAATCGGCAGCGATCCCTTCGTTGGAGCTCCGCGTCTGTAGCTTTTAAAACGTCGTAAACGACTCCGTAGTCCGCTGCCTTGGCCAGCAACTCGTACTCTTCTAACTCAATAGCACCCTGAAGCCACTTGGAGCGAGGGTAGGACAAGTCATGCAACGGCGAGGGCATGCCTGTTACCATCATTGCTGACGACGACGACGACGAGTACCACCTATTGACTTTCCCAATGCAACAAGGGGAAATAGCAAAGGGAATGGATCGTGCTATCGCCGCCGCCATGGCCATATCAGATGCAGCTCCACAAGCATGCAGCGAAACAACGAGGTTGCAACCGGACAACAACTGATTGTTGGCATCATCATCAGTAGTATTGATCAAATGCATCAGATCTTCCTCTAAAGCGTGGACAGAAAGGTTTGCACGTGCCGCTCGGTGCTCTAGTCGCTCCAGAGATTTGGGATTCCGATCCACACATACCATGTTGTAGTTGTAGCTGTTCTTCCCGTGCCGTTGCTGCTGTTGCTGTTGCCGTTCTAGCCACCATTGAAGAGGGAGCGCCAGATTCCCTGTCCCGCACCCCATGTCCGCCACCAAGACGTTCTTGGATTTCTTCTCCCTCGTTGTTCCATGATGACAACAGGCACTCACAAATTCTTGTACAATGGGCAAATAGGCCTCGACGGCGGCACGTTTTCGTTGGGCACGATCGCTTCCTTCCACCAATCCACCACCATCTGTTTCCCCGACATCTACAGGGCACTTGGACCAATCCAACGAAGGCGCTTGTAGCACTGGAATATGGGTTTGCATCATTGGACTTGTTAGTAATTTGGCAACAATTTGATCTGTGCGTTCCGCAACCCTTCTTCTTCGTCGTCCATAGCTTGCCGTTCGTTCTCGTCTCCGTTGCAATTGTTCTTTGGTCACAACAACCTTTTCATGGTCGTGTGCTTTCACCAGAACTGCGTACTTCAAGCGATAGTTGGAGCCGTTTTGGTCCGAATAAATCTTCAAGGCTTTCAACCCTTGACTGGCTTGTTGAGTCGAGTCAAACTCAATGACGGCACTGCCACCGTGCCGCTTGTCTCGGTCTCGGGGTCGGTTTGAATTTATTGGTTTCAATTCAATGCCAATGCAGCTGGTCGCAATCGCCTGCGAAAGCTCTCGAGACACTGCATCAACGGAACGATTCCAATCCAAATTTCCCACGTGAATGTGGCGTTGGCTAGTTTCAAATAATTTGTTGTTTTGGTTGCTTTGCGTTGTTGCATCGTAGTAAAGACGAGAAGAGGTAGAAGCAGCGGGTGTGATGATCTGCGCTTGCTGCAACAAAAATCCAAAGGAACGATGCAACTGAAGAAAACTCAGAAGAATGATGAATGACGCAGCTGGAGTCCACAATCTCATTGTGCTACCCTGCCTTACTCCGGCGGTACAGTACCAATTGCGGTACTTCGGATAAATGGTGGTGCCTTGCTTTCGGAGGATCTTGTGCTTGTACTCAGCAGGTCAATGTCTTCATCATGTATCATTGTGAAGTGATGGTGTTGATGCATGGTTCATGCTATGTGATGACGTCAGCGGACAAATGTGCACCCCACGTCCAAAGATCTTTTGGCTAAGCCATGCTTGATATTCAAATTAAGTCAGCGGGAGCTGCGATACCTCGGCAGAAAGACAGATAGAAGGAGGATTGTGTTCGGATTGCACCCATCTTTCAAGCTAGTTAGCCCTGGCGACAACACCCGACTACGTCGTGTGTTGCCGCCCGGTATCATTCATTCCCTCATTGCAACCTTCTTTTATTAAGCTAGCCCTGGCGACAACACCCGACTACGTCGTGTGTTGCCGCCCGCTACTCTATAATTTACCAGCTGCCATTCCCTTATTGTAACTCTAACCCTTACAGCTCCTGCTGGCTTATTGTGCTGTTGTGATGATTGCACTAACCTTAAATATTAATGATTTATTCCTACCCCTAACTTGTATTGAACCATCAATGTTCAGTTTTGTTGGCTTATGACTATCTCTATCCTTATACTTTGGCTTCACCGGAATAGGAAATAGGAAATAGGATATAGGAAATAGGAAATAGGAAATAGCATTAAAGGGGTTGAGAACTCAGGCAGTTTACCTGCCGAGGTAATTTCAAATAGGATGCTGCCACAAATTCACCCACTGTCTGTGGGTTGTGATCTTTCCTCTGCATATTTTCAGGTGTTTTTTTAAGCTCAAGCAGAGCTTCCACCTGGTTCCTGATTGCTGAGTTTTGAATATTCATCAATTTTGCAATTACGACATCAGTGGTTCCACTAATCTTCTGGCCTTCCGCGATGGGGAGTACAACATCCAGAAGATGATGAGTTGGCTGCACATCCGCCATTGAGTAGCCATTTGGCAGATTCACTTGGGTATCAAGATGTGCCATATATGCCTCTCGATTCTCTCCTCAGCGCTAGGTAGCCACTGAAATGCGTCCAATGTTGGTAACTCAGAGGGTTTATTCGGCCAAGAGGCACCAACAGTTGGCAGCTGTAAAGAGTTCATCATATCGTCCAATCGTGTCATTGTTGCCTCTGAAAGCACAAGTGTTCTCTTCCTAGTATTAGCCTCTGCTGTCAGGAGCGACAACCCAGTCATCATTTCAGGGGTAAAACAAGCCAGGAAAGACGCATAATCAGCGGTCGGCTCGGCCCTCGAGGGTGCATCCATGGCTGGTAGAATAATTGTTAGCGACGATAAATGTCGACATCAGAATTGCAGGTTAATAATTGTTAGCGAAGGAAAATTTGATATGAATATTAAACAATAATAAAGATACAGCTTACCATCTTGCCGATGCTCCTGCTTTAGCTTGTTGTGCAACTCATTGGCAAGAGGAATCCCTATACCATCATCATCGTGCTTCATCAAGGCCTCAGCAGAAATATTGAGGAGGGAGGACGGGGTGATAAATGCATTTCCGTTTTGGTAGAGTAGCGAAGCTTTTTCACCAAGTAGCTTCGCGTTGACCTTTCACACTTGCACTAACCATGCTTTAACGGCTGCTTCAGACGCAAACTCCTCATCATGGGCACTCATCGATCGTTGTGCTGTGAGTTGTTGTTACGATGGACGGCAATTATCCAGTTGCTGCTGCAGAGGCTGGGGCCCGGCGCTGAGCGCCGGGATTGGTCGCTCAATCGCCGCGAAGCTAAACAGGATTGAAAGTGTCTCTGTGGTATCGACGTTAATTCTTTCACTAATAAGGGGGAATCTTAGATTAATGTCGGTCCCCCGTGTCTACTTTACTGTATAAAAAAAAACAGTAGGGGGGCAGAGGACCGAGGTGAGGTAATATTGGTTCATCTCACCTCGGTATTACGTATGCGGCTAGTCCTTATCTATCTAGCTTCGCTGGCTCCTAGGTTGTGGTATGTATAACGATGTGAGTGGTTGTCCGACTTGCCACGGCGATGATGAGATTGTCACTATGTACCCAGCCCAGGTATACTATCGCGGAACCCCCGAGGACCCTATCCATATTACACCATGCTCTACTTTAATAGTTCACCATTCCTTCTGATTGTGCACTACGCTAAAAGCTAGTGTAAAGATCTTTCGAATGTTTTGAGTTTGAGAGAATGAAAGTTATGAGAGAGATTAGAAAGCTATGAAAACTAATCAACGAGAGAGATCATCATCAAAGGATCGTAGATCTGGCTTCCCGCGGGAGACTATAAAGTGTGATAGAGTAGGTTGTGGTAGTAATCCTACTCTCTCCACGATCCCAAAACGGAACGCGTGAAGGTTTGTCTAGCTGAGATCTAGTAGTGGAAGTACTCCACGCTGGCTAAATATCTAGAGCGTGTTTCATCATCAACCATAGTATGACTAGCGCGGTCATTGAGAACCCTGTCTCAAATGACTATCACGAGAGACTCGGTCTGAGTCGAACTCAAACCCTATCTAGGATCGAGTCGCGAATAAGGCTAAGAGCCGTGTATTGCATTTCGCCCCCTGACAAGGGTCACAGAAGGCGCGACAGCAGTCGGACAAGGAGAACATATGATTTAAAGTGCTGGGCCCTCTCATGAGATTTGGATGTAGACATGTGCGTCGCACGATGGCAATCCTACAAGGGGATCAGGCCTTGTATGGGTGTATATACCTTATGTTCAAAGTCTGGTAGACTGTGCCGCCTTGCGGATGCATGTGGAGCCGTACAGTGCCATTGTCATTGACTCGGTCTATAGTGTAAGGACCTTTGTACTTTGGCTGACCGTACTTGCGGTGCTGATACTGTTTGAATCATCACAGTATCGTTGACATTGTATTGTGAGGGACACGTGTCGCGTTCTCCCTATCGTTGTTTGTTGGATAGTCGTTGGCGACGTTCCTTAATGTACTTCCAGTTGCTTCGAACCGGACGTTGTGAATCGCGTCACAATTGAACACGAGCTGTGCAGGCGTTGCACGCAAGGTGGTATGAATCGTGGCTCATTGCAAAGCGAACGCCCGTGAGGACTCCATCCCAGGATCCATTCACGAGGTCGTCTGGACACTTGATGTTTTGAACAGCGATCAAGTTGCGTTTGGTTTGATGAGCACGCTCGACCATAGAATTGGCTTGAGGTTGCGCGTGTGATGAACTTGCGACGAAGTCCATATTCATCCCGGGTGTCTTTTCGACCTCTGCTCGGAACTCGCGTCCTCTATCCATGATAACCTCAGCAGGCCATGGATACCTGGTGAGCCACGTTTGTTCTAGGACGATGGCTATTCTCTTCGTCTGCTGCTGGAGCAGATCTCTGCAATCTCGAACCATCCGGTTACGGGATCAATCATTGTCAAGCAATGAAGTGTGCAGGATACTTTTCTTGGGATCCCCGACGTTGTAAGGGCCTATCAGTTCAATACATAGTCTTTCCCAAGGGATCTCCTCGCAAGTCTTTGGGGGCATCAACCCAGCTTACGCGTCTTGGGGTTGTTCATCTGGCAGCTTTGGCAACGCTGACATACGGCCTGCACAGTCTGCGCAGCCCTTTCCCAGTGTAGTGTTGCTGATGGTTAGTTCCTGTGCGAGTCTCGCAGGATGCATCAGCACACCATGGTACCATTCAACTAGCTTCTTCTGCATGTTTTTAGGTACGACGATTTATCTCGTCCTTAACTACTAAGTCGTAGACTTATCCCCTCTGGGAAAGATTGCTTCTTGTAGTCGTTTGGCTTGTCCCTGAGGAGCTTCCTTGATATCGTTGTCGTCTTTCTGACGATGCTCGATCTCGGGGACGAGAGAGGGAACTCGCTAGGGAATTCCTCTTCGTCTGCAGCCATGAGCTCAGCGATCTTCGCTGGCTTCATCTGTTCTGAAGAACCGTCGTTGTTGGTGAGTTACAAGTTGACGCATCAGCGACGATGTTCTGTTCGCCCTTGATGTACCGTAGTTCAGGGCCGTATTCTTCCAGAATAAGGCGCCATCGCATTACGCGATCGGTATTGAAGTTCTTGCATGTAAGATTCTTGTGGTCCGTATGTACAACGATCTTCTGTCCTAGAAGAATGTTACGGAACTCTTTCAGAGTTTCTACGATACTGAGAAGTTCCTTCTCGGTAACTGTGTAACGTGTTGAGCAGGTTGAGCTTCCTGCTGTAGAACGCGATGGGTTTTCCCTTCTGGGAAATACCGCACCTAGTTGAGTATCACTGCATCCGTGTGGATAACGAATGTATCGTTGAAGTAGGGTAGGCGAGCAAGGTTTCTTTGCTGATGATCTTCTTCATCTGGCGTAAAGGCCTTGTCGTGTTCGGCTTCCATTTCCACTTCGTTGTTTTGGAAGTCAACGAAGCGAGTGGGCCAGTACATGTGATCGTCTAATCCACATGTCTCGATAGTAGTTCACTAGTCCAATGAATCTACGGAGTTCCTTCCTGTTGGTAGGAGGAGCGATATTCTTGATCGCGTCTATTTTCTTGGTTATAGGTTGGATCCCTTCTCGAGTGATCCAGTAACCTAGGTACTCAAGTTCTCCTCTTGCGAAGAAGGACTTGGTAGCATTGATCTTGAGTCCGGCTTCTCGAAGCCTTCGGAGAACTTCATCCAACTTTTCAACGTGATCTGCTAGATCGCGTTAGTAGGATGAGTAGATCATCAATGTATGAGGACGTTTCTAGGTCGCATTAGTGTTCCATCTTCTCTTGGAAGATGTCGGGACTATTACATAGGCCATTGGCAACCTCTGGTACTCTGTACTTTCCCCACGGGAGTACGATGTACAGAGTTGCTTCGAGTGAGGTGACAGCTCGATGTGATAGTATCCATGTTCAGTCTAGACTAGTAGCGTACTTGAATCCGTCTAGATTCAAGAGCATGTCCTGTATTTTTGGGATAGGATAAGGCTTCCGCTTAATCCTTTTGTTCAGTTCCCGGAAATCAGAGATGAATCGTACAGATCCGTCTTTCTTGGAATGATGAAAGTTGGTGCCGCCCACTCGGAACGGTTTACCTTCTTGAGTACTCCTGCCTCGCAGAGACGTTCAACCTCCATCT